TTTTAGATATTGCATTTTTTAACATAAAAATACAATCTTGTAATAACAAATATATCTGTAGGACATTTAACTAGAACGTCTCTCTTTGACATGGATTATGGCACTCTCTTTAATTCCACCAAAAAGTGTGTGAAACAGCTTAAGTTGGTTTGAATTAATTCATAAATTAGGATTAAAGCGACATTATGCTCAATTTTTCGTTGTCAAGTTGAGCTGAATTTGCTATATATTTAAACAGATTGATTTTTATATTGGTCATTGAACAAAAAATGTGAAGAATAAAAATAACTGCCTAAAATATAAAAAAAAAAACTGCCCCACTCTTTTTATCTATTGAATGTTCAAAATACAATCCGAAGGACATTTAAAGAATTTTCTTTAACTGAAAACAATTATGGAAATATCTAACTTTGTTGTTCACCCACCATTTACACTTAAATGGGCATAATGCTACTTAGTTAAGTTTGTTCCTAAATTATATTGTTTATTGGACTTATCATATTGGAATGAATTGATGGATGAATGAATGAATGAATGAATGAATGAATGAATGAACGAACGAACGAACGAACGAACGAACGAACGAAAGAAAAAATGAGTTGGTCGGTCGGTCAGTCAGTCAGTCAGTAAGTATAAGTCTGTCAAAAATTATAAATTATAAAATAAGCAATTACTTCAGCTATTAATCAATATCAATTAATAAATTGTTCAATTAAGAACCCCAGGCCCTATCCCCCTACCGCACCCAGAAAAAAAAAACAAAAAAAACAAAACAATAAAAAAACAATAGTTGCTAAGCTTAATTTAAAATAATAAGTCTGCCGTTTACATTTTTCAAATGAAGACATGTTTACATGTTAAACCGCCCATGCCATAGACACCGGACAGATAAACAGAATTCTTTACGTATCATATATCATCTCAGTCTTGTGGGGTATTGCATTAAGTTATATATTTACCACATTTAGGTTTCCCAATATTTTTATTAAAACATATGTTAAATATAGTGTCTAGTTGGGATTTCCCAAGATATAAATAAACTGTAGATTTAGGACTCCCGTTATTCACAAATTGAATACATGTATGATAGTACGATATCAAGATTGCTAAGAGACGTGCGAGACGAGCAGACGACACATTCTAAATTCCGATAGTGGGATATCCGTGGAAAGTAAGTAGTTTTTTTCTGTATAATCACCACAAAACTCGATTTATTTCGTAATGTTTACTCTAACATTTTGTCTCGCTACCGTTCAGTATACTCGAATAGTCAATAATTATTTAAAACGCACAACTAACTAGCATAATATTTTTACCTATTCGTCCAAAAAAATAAATTTTGATGACATCACACAGGAGGCGTTAAAAGTGGATTCATTTAAAACCTTATAAAATCAATAAATTCAATATGTTCCTCTGTTTAAATAAAACTGAGATCGATTAAGTATTACTAAAATAATGCTATGAATTCATGAATCGTTATTTTTTTTCTTTAACTCGACATTCTGTAGAACAATTCGCAGGACAAATCACAGATGACATCTGTATTTAGTAATTATTGCGGCATATCAGTGTTTTCCCCCTAAAATTGACTGGAAACGAAGTGACGGGGATGTTGATAATTCTAAATCTAAAGGGTGGTGAGAGGACTGGTTTCCTTTTCGAAAACACCAGCTGCATCAATTTAGTATGAAATATCATATACTTAAAAACAACAATTTATATCGTCGATTTTCTTAATTTGTTTATAAATGTAAAGCAATTACGAATGAGAAATAGGTCTTTGTAAATAACATCAACATGAAAATATATCACACTATCATAAATTATTAAAGAAAAATGATTGAAATAACAAATTATTCGTACTTACATATTCTGCTGCCGTGGTCATATTGAATTGTAAGCATACTGCTTTGTAACATAGCTCTCTTAGTATATGTAGAGATATGTATCGATTAACATCACGTGCTATCATGTAAATCGTTAGAAGTTGGTTTTTGAATCAAAGACACAAATACTGGAGACTGGAATATACCAACGTTTGTTTTCTTGACATCAATTAGTGATCTTTATTCGACATTTATTACAGGTAAATTTTCTATGTGGTGTGGCGTTGTTGTCATTTTCAAAGCAGGCGATCATTCCAGAAGGGAAACATAATTTATGTGGTATTTTCCCTCTCGTACATATTAAATGTACGTTTTTTTGATGAGGTTGTTTTCTACATTCTGTACTTTGATGCTAATTGTTGTTGAGTACAGTACATGCTTTCCGATGATACAGTTTTGCTTCAGCATGAAAATGGTGTTATAATAATTTCTTTGTAGTCTCAATATATTTGTTTCATATTTGGTTGTGTTGGTTTTCAAATCATTTTGTTTTGGTTGTATTTTCGTCCACTTCTCTAATGTTTGTAGAGTACGTGCCTTGCGATACCACTTTGCTTCATTGAAGTGCTATTTTCATATTTGATTTTGTTGGTTTCCACATCATTTTGTTTTTTTGTTGTACAAGTATTTTCATCAATTGCATCAATCTACTGTGAACTTCGTGTTCCACTCCCTGTCGGTTATCCGTTTCATTATCTACATTATCAGAGGGTACACATAGAATCACACTAAAATTATCAAGTGTTAATAGATATGATATTTATCCGAAATGTAGTAGTAATGTTCTATGTAAGGTCATCTTGGTGTCCTAATTCTTGATCCAATGTTATATCAGGCCATCGAAGATCTACATGTATTGACCGTGATTTTATAAAACATTTTTGGAGTGTCACAAGCTGTCTTTGGAAAATTATAAATTCCTGATATAGTTCTGAATACATCATTCTAAACGGTACTGTCATTTCAACCTTTATTGTTAGTTCACACAGGTGGGATAATTACTCTCCTACCACATTCTGTTGTATATCTATGGTATCAGTATTATCTAATTCGAAGTTGCTGTAATAGTGGACCCTGCATGAACCCTTCAATCAGAAATAATTAGTTTCTTTATGTGTATTTTAAAGGTTTCTCTTTATGGTTTGTTTCAATAAAAATGCGTAGAGAGACAAGTTTTACCAAATTTTCGCCGTGTAAGGGTTTTGGTTTCCTTTCCTGTTCAAATATGATACAGACTTTACTTGTCTTGTAATAGGGAGCTTCCCATATTTATACCATTTGAGCCGGGCCATGGCAAAACCGACATAGTGCGTTTGTGACCAGCATGTATCCCGACCAGCGTGCGCATCCGTGCAGTCTGATCAGGATCCATGTTGTTCGATTACAAACCCTATTACAAGTAAAGAAACTGACAGCGAACTTCATAGATCCTGATCAGAGTACTTGAACGCGAAGACTGGTCTGGATCCATGCTGGCCGCAAACGCACTATGTTGGTTTGTCAAGTCGCGGCTCATTTATTTCTATACATGTTAAGTTTCACCATTCTATTTCTATGTGTACTGTAATCCATTGGAATTTCAATACCAAGTTAAATACTACTGGACGCCCATTCCTTCGCTGTATATAATGATCATTACAATGTAGATACACATGACAACCATCATCTACAACTGCACTATGGACATATAATCATTTCAAGTAATTAAAATATGAATAATTAATACTGGTGTCGATAAGAACCGACCTATGGCATAAGTATAATGCAGCTCCAGCCTACTTATCTTGTACAAAGCGACCTTCAAATTGTTGTCTTATGTCTAGTCATTTTGAAAATTGAAATCTTTATTGTAATCCTTTAAGATTTAAATTCAAAGTAAAGCAAATTCAAAGCCGATATTCAGCAGGATAAAGGTTCGACATTGTTTTTTTTCGTACCAGTTTCTGACAGTACAAAAAATGAAGAAAAAAAGTCAGTTATTAAAATCTCAGCTATAAATGTCTGCAAAAGAATATAAATATCAAAGCGATGTCAAATTTCTTACTAAACAAAAATCATTGCAGCGCCATACTTTTACTAAAATTTAATTAATGCAAGTATCACAAGCTTACTATAATTCAAATTTTACTTTTTAACTTTTGTAACTGCTTCAAAAAGATATTATTCTTATTTTACCTCTTTCTGGTGTTGTCATGAGTCTGCAATGATTATTTCTAAAGAAAGCAATTTGTTTTCATTATGAAATTTTTTTTTATTACAATTGAAAACTTTACTTAAATTGTGCCTGCAGATTAGGGCCGGAGCACCAGGGGCATGGACAGAAAATACTTACGCATGCACACTCATATTCATTAATAACTTAAGTAATTCAATATCTGATATCAGATTTAGCTGCTTAGCTCTAATAATTGTATTAGTGTATGTACATACTTCAATCGACGGTCTGCTATTTGGTTTGCATTGCTTTCTTCAATCAAAGTTTTGTGTACTAAAATATTTATGTATTTTCATGATTTTACATGTACTTGTGCTTTTCTTCGTCTGTTAAAGAACTAAAAAAAAAATAACTCCCTCAATTATATGAAAAAAACATAATTATGTCTTAATCAAAATCTTATCAGCTGAAGTATGACGTCATAATTATTCCTTTTGCGTCTTTATTTCTTATCAGCTATTGTTTAACAAGATGGTACTATTATCCCACTTCAGACAAGTGTATCTTAACAATATTGTTCTAAGATGAAGCAGGAAACTAAATACTTGCCCGGATATAAAACATTGACAACGAAAGTGGTAAAAAGGATAAAAACAAACCAACATATATTAGAAGTAGTTACTTTTCAAAACATGTTCCATGCGTTTGCGTATATTGTATATAAATGTGTACTCTCATATTAATTAAAATCATGCATATAAATTGACAGCATATGTAATCAAACAGGAGGACATAAACACATATCTTATCTGTAAGTAAGTTTTACATGTGCTACTTAACTACTTTCCTTATACTTAAGTATGTTTTGCCAAAAAGATAAGAGTCTTAAAAGTCTTAATTCATGAAAACATTCCGTAATTGTGAAGAAATTTTAAGAAAAGAAACACTTGAACACTTGCCAAATTCCATAATGCAGTTGTCCCGCAATCGAAAAATATCCATTCAGCTGCAGAACATATGCACATGCAATAATTCTTGTTTTCCATATTGCAGTTCTATGCATCAATAATCGTCGTATCAATATTAATATATATCCATGATAAAATCATTGTTCGAAAAGCAAATTTGAGGTCACAAAATCTCGTGTGTTCGCACTTCCGTGTTAATAATTTTATCTGCTCTTCCTAGAATAGAGGATAAAAATAGATTTTTGACTTATATATCTATAAAGCAAACTGATTAGTCTTCAGTTAAGAGTCGAGGAACAATTGCAATATATATTACAAAAATAGCAGTTTAATTTGTGCCGTTCATGGTGTAATTCTTTCAGGAGGAAATAAATTATTAATCATTGATATTATGATTAACGTCTACTTTCGATTTATGAATTACGTCATGGTTGGATATGCGAAAGCGAAACTGTGCAAAAGGGAGATCATAGTTCATTATTTTACGTGTTGTCCTACAAATCTATAAGTTGTATAATATTCAATTGACAATTCAACGATGCAGATTAATTGCTATATTCTTAAAACCACTTAGACATAGCATCATACACGTAATAGATTTAAAATGCTTTAATGGATGTATGAAAGCGAAACTGGAAAACGGAAGATGAATGAAAAAGGAAGATTTCATCATAATTATATTGTATACCATACGTTGGGCAGTGCCACCATCATGTGAATTGATATTAACATTGGAATAATCTTGTGTTTTAGTGCTGTATTTTGCTGACAGTATAATAGTTGGATTATTTAGAACAATGACATTAGGAAGTGGTGCTTCATTTAATCTTGTTCAAATGTCAAATGTAAGAAAAAAGGTAGAGAGGGATTTAGATGTTTAAATAAATTATAAAGCGCGTTTGTTTTGAATATGTTTTCTTTAATTTTTGATTGTATGATTTGAAACCCCAGTCCATAGTCCATTGTATTTGTATTTTTGTATATATTTGACATTGGGCTTAACTTATTTTGATATTTGGTTACTGAATTGATCTTCATGTACCTGCATACAAATGTAGTATAATTAAATCTTTGTATTTAGTTAATGAATCGAGTATACTCTACTAGGTTCTTCTGCTGATCATTTCAACTGATTTGAATAATTGTGAAACAAGATATTCAAAACAGTCTTAAAATGACAAAGAAATATAGGAGCATGTATAGAGATCGATAAAGTATTAATGTTTACCAAAGTAAATATTATTGACAGACAGTTTTATTGTGTTCATAAGGCCACCCTTTAAATCATTATACCACTTCAAACTTGATCTGTAGAACGATTTATAAAGTTTATCAAGTGTTTCAAACGACTTGTTTGTTTGACCTACTTTTTCGTCAAAATCACTCCACTATCAGCTGACATGATTATCAAAAGACCTATTTTTTAACTACACCAATTTCTCTATTCAAATTTTTGAACCAAAAGCTTGACACATGTTTTAAATCGACTCTGACTGAAATTGAATTATTCTTACAAAGTGAATTGTCCTGCTTTGTGCAGTTTCTTGGGATTGCAATATTATAGATCTAATGATTTCGTACAACCAACAGTATGAAATCTGGCCAGACTTCACAAAATTGTAACATGGTATGATACTTTACATGTACACTGGTGTCATAGGCCTGTTTAGGCCCACTAACACTCATAAAGTTAAACCATAAATATAGTTTGACACTTGAATTTTTGCTTTACCTTGGGTAACTATCACTGTTTTGACAAGTATGCCTCATTGAAATGTTTGCTACAATAGTTTACTGGGCTATAAGTCCGACATCTATTGCGTCTGAATTTATCACGATCAAGTTTAATTACGTCTTCTGATATATGTGTCTACTAAACTGATAACATATCATGTGAACATATCAGACTGTCGAAGGTCATGTCAATTTAAGAAATTATTTGAAAGTTTTTGATAAAAAAGTGTTCAGCGATGTTTGAAAAATAAATATTTTTTCAGTTAAAACATGTGTTGCATATGTTTGGGTAAAAAGCTTATGATGGGTCTATATTCGACAACATGCTACCCTTAGTAATAAAATTTGCCTTAAAAAAAGAAAAAAAAAAAGATCTCAACTTCATTTTTTCAAAACTGTTTACTTTTCCTTCTTTTAATTTAATACTATGGGTAACAACAATGTAAGAAGCAAGTCCCTTTTAGACAAACCTCCATTACATTATTTTAGTCTATTGAAAACATATTCAAGATATCCTGATAATCAAACTTTTTTAATACATTGATTCTTCATAATTATCAGAACGAACTTAACTTTGCATTTATTTCGGATTTTATAGTAATTAACATGTATTTGGTATAAATCATCCCATGTATAGCAAGATTTCGGCAAAAGTGAACCAGGACCTGGATGTGATATTAAGCGGAACTATTATAGCGCAGTTTGGATATTTCAGAAAGTATTATTTCATAGTTTTACATAGCATGGGCTCATTATTTCGTAGTTAAAAGGGGAATTTGCTTGCGTTTCGTTTGGTTTCGTTACATCAAGATTTGACATGATCTAGTGACATCGTATATATATTTACATATATTTTTTATTAATGTAAAACAACACGTGTTTGCATAGTTTAGTATACCTATCTTCCCCAAGCAAATCTGATTCAGTCATCGTTTTATATTTATGACTTAATTGTAATGCAAAAATATTTTAAAATATAATTCAAGCTTCTTAATATATGTTACAGGATTGATAATGTTTTTAATAAAAGTTGTTAAGGCATTAGTTTCGAACTTTTTTGGTCATTTGATTTTTTCCAATTAAATTGGATTGACGAATTCTCAAAGCATTTATTGAAGCGCAAATTAAAACAATTTTGTAAAGCGTCGTTTACTGAATGCTTGTTTTTGTTAGATGCGATCACAACATCACCATTATAAGGCCCAAACTATGCTTATCATCCGTGCAACCAGGCCAAGCTTCTATACTTTGGCTACTTATTTTTGAAGCTGCTTTAACCGTGGTTCTTTTCATTGCTACATAATTACTTTACAAACAAAATAGGACAAGTCCATAACACAGATGCAGCGGTGAATATGGTAAATTACAAAGTATCATGTCATGACTTGAAATATTTGAAAATATCATGACGTGAATCATTGGAATTTAGGTTAACATATGAATTCCTTTAAAGTATTCTTTTCATCCGACCCACGCCAACCATACAAAATAATATAATCACCCTTTCAATCAAAGTTTTTTTTGTGTGTGCAATATGTTTTGGTAAAAAAGAACATTCTTAAAGAAACATGATAGTTAGTCGAACAAAGACCTTTTGTTGAATAATCAAATTTCAAACGGTTAGATATTACCTCTGATATATAAGCGATTTATAAAATATAATTGACTAAAAATTTTGCTTTGTTCCAAGATCGATATAGCACTAAACCTTAAAAGATACTAATTACTTTAGAAATGTATATAAAATTTTAATGATTTGAATATGTACTTTTTACTAAGTTTTATTGTCGAAGATTGATCCATATCATTTCAATTAATAAATTAAATTCAACAGCAAAACGAATAAATGTTTTATGTGTTGAATACAGTAACTCTACAGAGACAATAACCGTTAATCAAAGTCTATTGTATTGCTCTATGATATGTTTTCGATTTTCAGTCAAAGTGAAGAGGCTTTTTGATTTTACACAATATATGAACTGCCCTGTCTTTTTACTTCCGATAAAAAGCGAAAAGAAACATAAGACAAATAATACAAGCGCAATAATTGACGACTGAAATTTATATGTATGTAATTTGTGTTAATGACATCTTAGCAACTTTAGCAATATTGTAGTAAGGTCTGTAGATAAACATGTGGTAACGTATTGAGTTGGTTGATTATTGTTTAAAAATTTACAGAAATTTCCTTGGGCTGAATTTTTTTTAGCGTTCATGTGAAATAAATTGTAAACTTAAAGGAATTATGGCAAAATGCAAACTTATTCTTCACTCACTTTAAACACTTGAATAAGCAAACACTTGGATGAGCGTAATTGTCACTTTAAACATTTCAGATTTACAGTTGACGGAGTTGTATTATGTCCGCAAAAGCGAACAATGATACAATATTGTTTACAATTTCGTGTTATGTTCACGATCTTATAATAGGAAACCGTTCGTACAATGTTGTTACGGAATGCATTGTATTTAAACCCCAAAATCTAACAACATATCAAGTTTCCTTAAACATTTCCTTATTTTTCTATTTAGTTGATAGTTTACAGATGGGTAGACAGTGTTGTTATTTTACATGAAAACTTGCCAAGACTTTAAATATACGTCTCTTTAATTATGAATGTGATACTGTTGCTATTTTGTATTACAAAATGACGTCAAACGTTTAAGGATCACCTCATATATCATACTAGTACATATTTTTACTAAGTAAGTATAGACATTCAAGCTTTGTCTATGTGTTTTCACAATTATTTTCCCGTAATGAAGGGAGGTTCTTTTAGAAGTACAAAGAATAATCCAGGTTGATAAAACATGGTTCATTGATTCAGATTGTGAAATGTTAGCTCATGATATAAATGTTAAATAATCTTTGAATATTGTTATGATATTATCTATGTTAATATTACCAACTTTAAAGCTGTGTACGACCAACCACGCTACATCCACGCATAATTATAAACCTTTTAGAAATACGTTTAGGCAACCGTGACTTAGCCATACGGATATATGAACAGTTTGACTATCTATACAGATTGCAAACAATATTTCACTGGTAGTGAGAGGATATCATGTAACAACGCTTACTTATATAACACAAGAGCATCCCTCAGATAATGTGGTCTGAGAGCATGCTTATTTTTTCAACATTGATATTAATCAACATGTTTCAAAAGCAAAGTAAAATAAGTCTCCAATCAGTCAATCTAAAAAAAGCCCTACATGTAAGTTCTTTTAATTGGACTTATTCTCAATGTTGTTATATTTTTCCATTTTAGTGTTGAGAATGAATACTGCTTAAGGCGGTGCTAGGGGGCGTGATAAATGATTTACTTTCTACTATCTCTTAAAACACAGAGTGCGATTTTTAACTATTTTTTGTTTTGTTTCGATATGATTTCCAGATCGTTTCGATATGACTTGTGTAATCTCCCAAAGTGAAATATTTATGCTATTTATAAGTTACCTTTTTACAACAAATAAGTTGTTTACTGAAGATAATCTGATCTATTGGCCTGACTCAAATTTGAATGTTAACTTACTACTACTATGTTTGAAGTTTTATTGAAACTGACCTTAAGAATTTGTCAATGTTTAATGAATAGAGCATTGTATTGAATAATGTCGAATATAGCATATTCAATATTACTTATCAATAAACTATGGCGTGATCTTTTAAATGTATATAAGAAGCAGGTATAAAGAAAGATTATATGTACTGATTGAAGTATCAAGTATTATATTTCAGGTATACAGAGATCTACAGAGATCTTTTTATATTAGCTCTTTTATGAAATAACTTGTGACGTTTCATGATTTGATTTGAAGGAATTCAATATTCAATAACGCCATAATTTGAACGAGTATGTTCACACATGCCTGCTAGATCAAGTTCTTCCACTTTTGTTAGTTGTTATTCTATTGTTTCGTAAGAACACGCTTGCTTTACAAATGAATAACTAATTGTTTTGTATACACGTATGCTCATTTCTTCAACTGCAACGGTTTTTCAATCGGGACCTACTTTGAAAAACTCGGATCCTGGATATAGAAAATCGGTTCAAGCGGACGGACTCACTTTAATGGGAAAAATTTAAAAGTGTAAGACATAAACTAATGTTGGCATTTCATTTTACAGGATCCCATCATGAAAACGACAGACAGTAAAACGCGCATGCGCGAGAAGTGGAGCATTAAAGAATGTGAAGATGATAAAGGATGGAAATTGAAAAGTAAGTCATTGCAGAAAAAAATAAAGCAAAACAAAATAAAATATCGAAAATCTAATAATAAACAACGATAAAGAAAATAAGTGATACAATGCATTATTTTTGACATGTTGATTTCACTTGATAAAAAAAATCTTGCAAATTATCCTTTGATACTATGACCTGCAAACGACTCAATCATCGGAATATATTTCATCATCTTGTTCATTCTTCTCAAATTATTCTGAATATAGCTTTATAGAGAAAACGATAAGATAATCTTTCATTACTAGTATTGACTACAAAATACTCGTCTCTCATTGGATGTTAATTAGGATCACGTGGCGTCCTAAAATATCTTATACTAGGCTATCAGAAAATATATTGAGCAGTAAAAAATATTTTAAAAAAACACACATAAAAGTACAGTTTGACTATAAAAAGGCAGTCGTTCTGACCTTATATGGGAAATACGTTCGAGAATATTATTCAGTATTTGTTCAAGACACACCATTCTTACATGAAATACAAATATGTATATAGATACTAAATATATATATAACTAATGAAAGACTTCATTTTAATAAAGTTTAAAACTAGTTTATTCTCAAACAATAAAGTAAAATCATATTTTGTCAATAATAACAAATAATAAGCTATTATATAGATTCATGCTTTAATTGCATGAAATCACATCTAACCATACCATATATAAAGTATACGTGTATTTTCTTTATTTCTTATCGTATATTTAATAGAATAATGAAACATAAATTTATTAGTTAATCAAGATAATGCCAACTTTTTCATACACTCTGATGAATCAATTTTAAAAACCTCTTTAACAAAAATAATTGCTTCTATTTATCTTTAATATCTACAATCAATTTGTAGCCGTATTGTAAATCAAAACTTCATTATAAATTTTGTTGATATACAAATATAGTCTATTGTCTTACAACCGCTGATTATCCCGAGATAGACATTACTTCTTACTGACGACTGAATGACATTTCGACCTCTCTCCACATAAGTTAATAGGTCTTTGCTCGCTCCCACTTTCGTCTGATAAGCTACCGAGAGTGACCGAAATCCGTGCAGATACGCAAATGCTATGTAAAACTTTCACTGTAGAAGATGTAATTGTACACGTCAGCAGAAGGAGAACTGAAACACAAGACAAGAGCATTAACGAATGGAATAAGCATAAGTAGTGTCTGTATTTACTATGTATATGTTTGAAACACCTGCTTTTTGTCGACGGGAGGAGGAGCTAGTGTTGGATTTACGCGCTGAATCTAAGCTAAATGGTGAGATATTGAAATATCTTATCTTTAAATACTTTTTGCATGAACGCAGCCTCATTTTTGTGTATAAAGAAGTATCTCTGTGTGACCTAAATCTATGTTACGAATCAGCCGCTGCTACAGATATCATGATATAACGTAATGAAACATGTTATAGAAAATATATTTCAAATTCTATTTAGCAGCGTACATTTAAGATCATTTATAAATTCATTTGTTAATAATAGTGCAATGAGTTGCTCACATGCAAATATGTTAAGATCATATGATTCAGCAATCCCAACAAGAACATAATGTTTAAAATAACATGATGCATATGTAACGGAAAAGCATTTATGTTTTCTGCCGTACTAAATAAATAAATACGATTTACAAAAATCAGCACAATACAGTGTATGAAAAAATTGATATATTTGTGGTCATTATTATATCAAGATTGATGGTCATAACACGTCTTAAACAGTTTACAATAATATATGGACTAGTGCCTGATGGAACTTGTTATTGCACGATTAAAGTTGCTGTTATCAGACGCCAGTAGACTTTGATCTTTACACTCGTGTTATCTGTCGTCTTGTCACAACACGTGACGCCGTTCTGTGCACAAATTAGAACAACACACACTTAATTACTGATAAACTTTTGTCCATGAAGATAACACTTAGATAATGGCAGTAAATTTGCTACTATTTCGAAATAAAACTAACCAAAACAACTTAATTACACATTAGTGTTAACGCTTATTTACGCTGAAAAATTATTTTAAACCGATTGCTTAAAGTATACCCTTATATCAGTTAACATTTCAATACAAACCGTCGTTAAGCTGACAAAGTAAACAGTGTACATGTACACCATATCACGTTATCAAGCAAAGTCTAAATATAGATTTATATTTTGCGCATTAACTTCACCCAATTCACCAGCATAGTACATTCGGATAGGAAATCTACCTGTGCTTTACATATAATGTATCGTAAGATTTTGTAGTGTTACACACTGTTAACAAATATAACTGTTAAAACATAACCGATATACAAAATACGAGTATGTAGGTTCTACCTTTCATCATTTTAAACTCTACACAAAACACATAAAGTCTTATAATATCATAAAAATACAGGATGGGATTAACGTCTTTGAAAGGTAAGAGTTATATTAATTCTCGTATATTTCCACAAACGCCCGTTTTGTAGTATTTTGTAATCGTATTATAAATATTTCAACGATATCAAATATATTTACCAATAGAGAAATAGGTAAACTATTACTTTAATATTCACATAAACTGTTATGTATTTCCAAATTATAAAAGTACTTATATAAAGTGTATTTCAGATTTTAACTTTTAAATATTCAGCCTGTCACCACTTACTTTGTAAAATAGATTCGTTCTGTTTTGATAAAAATGGTGATTTAAGTGATTCGGAACGTGAGAGAAAATGCTTAAAATGCACCTATTTGATATGAAATTGCTAAAAAAGCTAGATTGTGCACGACTGTGTAGACATAAAAATATTTCTGGCATTGCAAGCACTATTCAACAAGAGATAAAAGTTACCTTGACATTGTGCTTAATTTATTGCTTGTTAGCTTGAGATATGTTGCACTTTCCAACATTTCTCATGAACAGACACGTTTAAACCGAGTCTATGATTTACAACTATTTGTTTTTTTAGATTTCTTTCTAGACCGTTTTACCGTGTATTTTGATTTTAAATGAAATTGCGATTTACACTTGAATAAGTCTTTTATAACATAACGTTACGGTTTATAAATCTTGTAAACACACTCTTTTTCACAATCTCAAGTTTCAAATAGTAAAAAGAAATCGGTTATGACAACTGACATCTCAAAATCAAAACCGTTTTCACAATAAACACGCTTATAAAGCAATAAGATGATTCTCAAAATGTGTGCATATAACAATCCTTATGATGTATATGTATGTATATAAATTGTAAACAGCTAGTAGTACTTGACAAAACTTAATTTGCTACATGGAAGTGGACACTTCAAGTTTCCTCTGTGACATCACTAACACAATCATCAGTTTAGAGTAGTTCTTGAAGAGTCGATTGATATAATTACTGAATGTTACAATGTTTTCTTTATCTCCGAATAAGGGTTTTAATCATATGTAGATTTCCGCTAAATAAGATACATTCAAAAGTATCCGTGTATATTAAGTGGTAGTTTAATCAGTCTATGTTAAATGTGTATATGAAACACTACGGTTTATATGGTTTATGAGAAAAAGCCATAACAGATTAAGCCTGTGAATAAGAGATAAAAATACGTATATGCATTGTATCATTTTCATTTTAAGATATTTTACACCAGAGAATCTTGACATTTATTAATCTGAAGTTAAAATAGGGACAAATGAAATCTTTGTGTATTCCAGATGTTCGGCGTGTTCAGGTCAAGGCGGAGTCGTTAGATGGAGTTAAAATTATGCGAGAGCTACACACAACAAATTTTGATAACAAATTTGATGATCGGTACTGGAGAGTTAGTGACATTCATATTATTGAAAATGACAAACTGAGATCACAGTTTGAAGAATACAAAAAAGAACTCATCGAACTGGTGAGTTGAAATTTAAAAACAGGTACTTTTAAGCAATTGTTTTAACAAAAGATTCAACAAAATACGACTTAATGGTTTTCCATGTCCTTTGTTTGCAAATAGAATATCTGAGGGCAATTGCTCAGGCGGGACTACGTTTAGGCCTACTCTTGTTCAGAAAATTGCCAAATTTCCGAATGTACAGAATCCGAAATTATCATAACATCAATAATAATGTTACATATAAAGTAATATCTTGTTGTTTTTATGCCTTTAATTTGTAGGGACGATCGTCCGACACAGTCGCAGAGACTCTAGCTTTTTCAGCTGAAACAGAGAAGTCTTGCAAGGAAATTTGCAAAGAAGGTTACAAAGTCGGCTCGAAGAAAAGACATGTTTTAGGGCATACCGGAAGCGGTGTCCATCTCGTACGCCATTATGACATTCTTACAAGATATCTGATGTTTCAACAATACTCATCTCCGACATATATAGTTGTTTATAAGGTATATAAATTAAGCGTTTTTACTTTTTCAGACACGATAATATCCTTTCAAGACTTTTAAGTGGACATATCATTTATGTCAGACGTATTATATAGTGAATCCATGTTATTTTAACAGTCACGTCTATGCGCTCATTGAGCATTCGTTTTAAACCATATTTAGGTTATCCAACTTGTAAGTTATACTTACGCCCTGATTCGTTAACTGGGCAGGTCTGAAATTTTGTAATTAATATATTAAATTAGTGTTTTAGTTTCTCGCTCGAGATTGTTTAAAAATGAAATTTACCGTTTATTATATTTGCTTTTACGATGAATCAAGTTATCGCTGTAGCATAAACAGATTAATAGAAAGCATATACTTGATTTCAGACGTTTCTTGGGAAGACAAAACCTATTGTCCCCCGGCTCCATAAGGATGATCATTTTGTTTCTCCTTATATTGGCTTTGATTCGCATGTATCAGCAAGACACATTGAAAGAGAAATGCCGATTTGCGAAGCACTGAACTGTAGTTACGTACGTTTTATCTTTTATCATATTTTCTTTTCTACCGAATGTACTTATGTCTTGGTTGTTCACTTATAAGGGGAGACTATGTAAGCCGCTGGATATTTAAGTTGCTAGAGCCGCAGAACGATATTCCGAGTTTTCAATTAACACTTTCTCTGACTGGTAAGAAATTCGATAACGAATTTCAATAAAGTGGCGGGATAGTGTCACGGTCTATAATTGTTCAGTTATTAGAAGACAAAATTTGTAAGCGGTCAAATAGTTCAGTCGGCAGAGTCGCGTCACGATATTCGGAGGGACATGGATTCGAGTCCCAATCTGGCTGCACATTTTTCTCACCCTGTGACAAAAATACCATAAACCAGATTCTATAGCCATTTCATGTTTACTTTTTGTCAATCTAACTAAAGTTCAGATCTACTTATATTTTCCATATAAATCTGATAACCACCTTTCTTAATTTAATATTCGGATTTCCCGAGAAAGCTATTTTTAGCCATGCAATCAAACCGGTTTTCACAGATAGGCATTAGGAGAAGAATCAAAATACCGTTATTCATGGAAGTTAAACAAATTGTTGATTTTTGTTAGAAAAAAATGTTTGAAGTAAGTTTTAGCAAATCATCTTGAAATAATAGAGTCAATTTTTAATGGGCAAAATTGTTTTGCCAGTTTACCTTTCGGCTATATGGACAACGCCATGTTTGTTCTCGCAATCGTGAAAATTACCTAGTCAGTATTGGTTTCCCAAGGGTTAAATTCAGAAACCGCATCGCTTTCAAAGTAATGAAAGCTCGCCAATTATTGGTTGGTTGAAGGACCACGAGAAGATGACAACCTATGGGTGGATGTCAGATCCTAATGCTTAGCGTTATTAAATATGATTAATATCAGCTCTAAATAACGCTTCGCTTTTAGATTTGACCGTGACCAAATACGAAATCATTTCTGGAGTCCTTACACACAGCCAATCATCGGCGAGCTTTCATAATTTTGAAAGCGATGTGATTTCTAATTTTAGCCCTCGGAAAACCGATTCTGAGTAGGGTAATTTTCACGATTTCGAGAACTAACATGGCGTTGTCCATATAGCCGACAGTTTAACTTAAAAAACAATCTTGCCCATTAACTTTAGAGTGATTTGTAGGAGAATGGTAGTACTTTTATTTAACGAAATCAAGTGCTTTGTTAGAAAATGTTATTTTATTCTATTGGATTGCATCCCAAAGTTTAAACATGTAAAAAAATGTTCGGCAATGTAAATAATATATCTTTATCATTACAGGTGTATCTGTACGAATTTGATCAAATTTCTTCAAATCCAGTCAAGCATCCACGCCAGATATTACCATATCTTATCATTCAACTCGAAAAGAAGATCCCATCTGTACCAGAAAATCCTTTTCTTTCTGTCGGTAGTGATGCAACGCGGTCAACATGGGAAGTCAAGGGTGAAACCAGGCGTGGCTTTAGGTTTATGTTTACTAAGTCTGGACTAAAAGGAAAACATAAAGTTTTTAGCAAAACTTCAGCTAATTTTGGGTCACATTTAAAAGGACAAATTCTAGAAATGCGTACAAAGTCTGCAGGATCGGTATCTGATGCAAAACCACCCCTTTTACAAAAGATCAATAACAAATGTGGCAATAGAAACGATATAGAGTCTAAAACAAGCAAACCACCGGATTTACAAAAATTTACATCAAGATCGAAAGAGACAAATTCTAAACATGTTAAGGTAGTATTATGCAAAGAAGTTGAAATACCCAGTCATTTGCGAACTATACAACAACTTACTAATTTAAAGCCGTGTGTTAAGTTGAAGCGACTCAATATTGGATGTTTGAATATGTATAGGCGTAAAGTTAAAATAAAATCATCAGTTGGAAATGAAATGAAGAATATGGGACCAGACATCGATGTTTTTTCTAAAGGATCATTTTTTAATGTATCAGATGTTACAACATCAAAACAAGATGACAAAATAATATTGAGTCAATTAGAAGAAGCTCCTGCAGACAGAAGTTCAATTGACAATCGTATTCCACTTGAAGATATGAGCAGCTGTACGGAAACATCGACATTCAATATCTGTGACATAACAAAAGGAAGAGATAAAACTTTAACATTAGCAGAACACAAATCAGCAAAACTGTCTTCTTCCCAAAATTTGAAAAATCAAAGCCAAGATTTAAAAAGCAAAACAGACGGTAAAAAGTTTGACAATATGTCACCAAATGAGAGAACGCTAGCGGTGAAAGATCCGAGAATCGAGGTAACATGCAAGACTTTACATGCAACACCAAAATTGTCCCCAAGCACTTCACTGACACATAGCAATAACTCAAATAATAAATCAGATTCTCTAAGTGAGAATGTTCATGAAATAAGATCCATATCTTTGTCAAATACAAAAGGATTAGAAAAAAATTCGTTAGCGGATGAATCTTTTATTGATAAACAAATAGATGATGAAAAACGATCCGTTCCATTAGAAGAAAGCAAAAATGCAGTTCAAGTTGATAACAAAAACCATGCTAAAGACTTAATACCTAATAAAACCTTTAGTAATAGCGATTTATCGGAACAGAAACAGAACGGTTCCAGTAACAATGTTAACATATGTGGCGATGATATAAATGACGTGTCTGTGATAACCGATAAATCGTCGACAAAACAATGTATGTTAGAAAGTAAAAGTTGTTCCAGAGATGAAAAACTTGGGTATATAAGTGATAAATCTGTTGATAAACAATTGGAAAAAAATGAAAATAAAGACATGCGCAGCCTAAGGAAGCAACCAAATGATTGCAAAGACAAAATTGTTAATAGAAAAACGCTTTCAACAAGATGTTCACCAACAAAAACAAAGTTTGGTGAATTTGAATATAAGTTAGATAAAAATAAGGAAAAACAATCGTGTTATTTGAAGGTGAAAAATAAGATGGATTCTATTCCAAAAAAATACGAAAGACAGGCACCCGATACAAAAACAATAACTCAAGAGTACGATTTCATAGATCAAACCCTTGATCAAAGTCAGGAACTAAACAAGCAAAAATTAAAAAATATTAGCAATGACGGTTTTGTTGCCAAAGATAAAACTGTAAGAAAAGAGTTAATCAATCCAGAATTAAAGTCCTCAAATGATCATGCTTTAGGACATGATGATAGAAGCAAAAATACATATTACGAAACAAATGGATCTCTGCGTGTAGATGATATCTCAATGGCAAACAAAACAGTCGAGTCTGCCAAGACGTCCAAAAGTTATTCAACAAGTTTGGTTAGTTCTGGTAAGGTTACAAACTTAATCAATATTGATAAGACTAAGTGTGATCCCACACAAATTCAGACGCAACATAGGGTCCTTGAAAAAAGTAAATCGCCTGTAGCAGCAAACGCTGCACCCGATATGTTAAACATTAATCCTGTTCTTGTGTCAGCACAAACATCCACATACTCTATGCAAGACAGTAATGAAACTATTGCTAATGAAACTTTTAAAGATATGTTATCATCGGAAAACCAGATACGCGTTTATCAAGAGTCAAGTGTGAAAAATAAAGATGAGCATTTCATGTCAGAAATGACGACTTTCTACACAGACAATGCATCATGTGTAAGATTAGTTGAGCAATTTCCCGATAACGTCCCTCAGACTCTTGTGGTAAATCCAGTGATTCGAACGTCGTTTAGTGCCAAACGAACCGTTCCTCCCGTTAGTGAAAGAACACACTTAATTCCAAGTACTATAAATATTGATAAACAAAACAGTAAACCCATAAGTAATACCAATATGGCACAAGCGACTTCGAACAAGTCGTTTAAACAACAAGCTAAGATATCGGATGATAAGGATCTGACGCTTAAAAGTGGAGACTGCAAGACATACACTATAAAAAACGACCAGCCTATCATCAAACCTAAAAGTAAAAATGAAAATAGTAAAATACATATAAAGCCAAAAAAGACGCTCACACGAAAACGTAAGGCAATAGCTGCTACGGAACTGACAACAGTAAGTGATGCTCACAAGAAAAAACGTGCATATGTAAATAAGTCGAATAAAGATGCATTACATGAAATAAAGAATACGCAAACAGATTCAAAATTGAGCAAATCAGCTTCTCAAGAAATCAACAAAAAAGAAAAAGATTCCAACGCTCCGTTTGTCATTTCTACTGGTGAACATAAAGGGTTGTCTCAGAAAAAAGTAAGTGAATCTAGTATTCCTCGTGGCGTTAAAGACACAAAGATTAAATCGTCTCCAACTAATGATACGATTGAAAATAGGTATAGAAACAAGGCGGTCTGTACCAGAAAGGAGAAAATTAAGAATCAAAAAATAAAACTTCACCCCTCAAAAGCAATAACGGAGCAAAGCACAAGTGATTCGAAAAGTGTAGCTATGCCTACATTGAAACACTTATTGACTGGTAATCGAGCAACTGCATCCACTGGCACTGATATTCCTAAGGAGCATCAATTGAAAAACGAAATCGTTAAAAGTATAGAAAAAATGAAAACCTCTAGAAATGCTGAGTGTTCAAAAGCTGAAAGGGAAAGGGAAATACCAAAATCAGTTGAGACAAAAGAGCTTGCATCATCAAAGTCATCAAAGCAACAAAAATGTAGTCAAATTTCAGTGCCAAATCTTTCAGAACAAACACCCCAGCTAGGCCATCTTGAAAACCAAAATAACGTGAAGATTGATTTGCATACAGCAGATCGGGTTCGATCGTTTTTAAATTCAAAAGCTGCTGTAGCTATGCAACACAGAAAATCTGTTGAACAGAAAAGTGAGACAGACGAAGATATTGATAATACAGGCTTCAAACATGATACATTTAATGAAAGTAACCTATTATCGACAAATGGCATTCAAAGTAGCCCTGTTAATCAGCAGTTTGAAAAGATTGAAGCAAATATTAGAATATCTGACGAACACGAAAACCAAGATTCAAAACATAGAATCGCAGCAAAGGAATGCACACACTTTGCCAAAGAAAAATACAAGTTACAAAATACTTCAAAAGAACCAATAAAATGCTCAAGAAAACACGTTTCAAGAACAACAAGAGGGGATTCTTCAGAAATACATGATGGTGATTCACAAGACACAATTATTGGCGGTGTTCCAAATTCACCAATTTTACCGCTAACTCCTTTCTTGGTATCTAATGAAAATACGAAGCATTACGAAAACTGTGTGACAAATTCAAAAGCAACAGTGTTTCAGCCAATCAATTCAAATGTTATAAAACAAGAAACTTTAGACGATCGAGACCAATTCAACGCTGTGACAAAGGATGGAATAGGAAATGATCATGTACGTCCAAAAGAATGTCAGTCAGAATCAGGCTCTGTTAACCAGGTATCATCAACTTTAGAGTGTCATCAGGAATTGATTTCTGCAGAAAATATTAAAGAGGAACCAGTTGACCAAGAGTTAGTAGGAATGCATGTAACACCGGTGCCAAATTTTGAGTCACAACCTGTGAAGCTTGAGCCTTTTTCTCCCGAAACATCAACAACCTTTTTCCCTAAGATTAGAAAAGAATTAGCGAAAGGGACAGCTTTGCTTGATGCTTCACAATGTAGAAGCGCAATTGTAGACACTTTAAAGGAACTTTCTTTTGTTTTGAAATTCCTTACCGATAGCAATGTACAAAATACGAAACGAAAAGAACAAGCGGCAATGGTGACAACACAAATGTGTAACGAATTATCTAAAGAACGATTGAATGTGACAAAAACTACGGAAATAGGACCAATGCTGAATGCAGGGCACGACATCAATTTAAAAGACGAACCAGAAGAATCAAGACATGAAATGGTGTCTCAAGACCATTTGAAAAGCTTTAGCTTTATACCAGAAGACAGTATATGTCGTCCTGTTACGGAAGATCTTAGTTATGAAAATTCAGTCAGTGATCATGGATTCCAATACGATTACATTTTAAAATCCTCCGAAGATGAATATCAAAGTGCGAATGAAAGTTATGCAGCAGACTCCCCTTTGAAAGAAACAGAGCTAGCAAACATATGTCAAACAGAAAATAAAAATATTGATACATTAATTACAAAATCTACTTCAATAAAAGAAAAACAGATGACTGACCAACATGAAAAAGATGAGCTTCCTCGTTTATTTGATCCAAATGAAGAGTCTGATATAACAATTCTAGAACAATTTGGAATTCCAATAGAGCAAAATACTGTACAAAGTCCTTCGAATATGTTTAGTAGTCATGTCTATTTTGAAAAAGAGCCGGAAAGTCATGCAGACCATTTAGAATTACATGGTGTTAAATGTGCCGAAAATATCAAGATTGAAAAAGGAAAAGATACAGAAAGTGCAATGGTAAAAACAAAACCAAAGCAGTCTTTCAATTTTAAATCTGGGATTTTGAATAAGGGCCTTAAAGAGAGAAAAAATATGTTCGATCTGAAAATTAACGCACCAAGATCTGCTGCGGTTGGAACTGTAAAACAGTCAGATAATAAATCAGACCTTCAAATGAAAAACGTGACAATAAATAAGATAGCAGGAATTGTAAAACAATCAGATAGTAAATCTGATCTTGAAACTAAAAATGAGAAAATAACTGAGATAACATGTACCAACTCTAAAGTGCTTGCGAAAAAAGAAATAAATGAATCGCCGGAAAAAGAAAATCAAAATTACCAGAATGAAACAAACGATATTATGAATGAGGTTTACAAGACTGTATGTCAAAAACTATCGTCACTAAAAGAAACAGATATTCAAGAAAAAGACGATTTTTTTTCAAAAGGTTATTTTTCAGAAAAAGTATGCGAGTCTTCAAGCGATCCAGAAAATGCAATTTCTATAAAAGATACACAGCCTAAAAAATTACCCGGTGATAATGAATTAATCAATGACCAATCAATGCCAAATTTTGTAAGTTTAAAAGTGGAAACCACTGCAACACCTGATAAAAAGGATAGAATTATACCATTTGAAACTGTCCTTCGTCTAAAGAAACAACAATTCTGGAAATATAAAAGAGGAATGACTAATAGGAAATTTATAGACTACAGAGAATGTTTTCCGAGAATGTCAGAATCAAAAAGATTGACCTCTCCTAAACATGTGAACAACAAAGAAGCAGGTACTTCTGAAAGTTCGGAAAAGGCAAGTAGTGAAAATCAAAATCACAAAACAACGGAAATAAGCAAGCATTTATCTGAAACTGAAAATGGTAGCAAACAAGAATCTTCCGCTGAAGACTTCAGTCGAAAACGATCTTGCCCAGATACTGATGAAAATGCAAATCCTAAACATATGAAATATTCCTCCGAAAAATGCGAACGAAATGACACTGATCCAAGTCGTAGATCAAGAAGTAAAAGTAGTCATCGTTCCTCTTCTAGTAGACAAAAGTCATCAATGCATTCGTCTGTTGATGAAAAACGCGAATCGTCGTCTTTTTATAACAGAGGAACTTTTCCACATTCAGTACGACCACATTTTAATCAAAGGCCGTTTTCAAATTCAAATTTCAAACCATTTTATGGATCAAGACCTTATTATAATAGCAGAGGCGCATATAGAAATAATCATTCGCGCTTTAATATGCCAACGAATAGATATAGTAACTTTTCAGGAAAAGCAACATTTAACAAATCTGGAACCGGATATTTCTCCTGGCGAAGAAAGTACCAACCAAAGAGAAATGTAGTTGATGGCTTTGTGTTAACAGGAAAGGGCACTGTTCAATCTGTGTCTGAATACGCAGAGTGGACTAGATTCAAAGAACGGGAAACGCTTAGAGATCAAATCGAAAGTGCAATAAAAGATTATAGACGAACATTTGAAGACACTGCCGATGACATGAAAGGAGATGAAAAGGTTGCCAGTTATTTGACGTTTTTAACTGAAAAGCTAGATAAAATACAAAGTAAACGAGATAAGATAATTATAGAAGAAAAACCTGAAGACCGAAGAGATAAACACCGAAGTGCAAAACGATCATCTTATGAAAGGAAGAAATCCAGATCACCGCAGCCAAAAAGAGACCGCTCAGACAATATGCTTGGGAAACTAGAAAAAGCACATAATTTCTATCAGCATGAAAAACAGCAGCACGAATCAGTTGCACGTTTCAGTGGCTCCTTGGCCAGCGACAGCGACAGTTTGTCGTACAAACAACGTAGGCATGCAAGTGGCATAGAAGAACTTCTTAAAGAACATATATCTAAACATTACGAGCATTTAACTAAACAAATAAAGCAAGAAATGGACGACCTTAAAACTTCCAGGTCAAGAAAAGAATACAAGCAAAGCACATATCAGAAAGATATGCATCGCAGTAAATATGATGATAAGATGAAATACAATTATGATAAATACCACGGTCATTCACAAGAGCGATATGACTCAAAGCGATCGAGTAAAGGTGAATCCTCTAGGTCTCACGGTGATTACAAACCTACTGGGAAAGGCCGGTACGGTTCGCAACGATATGATGAAAAATATCCTTATAAAGATAAATATACAAGGAGGCATGATTCATTTAGAGATCATAACGATGATTACGATTCAAGGAGAAGAGATGACTTTCAGTACAAATCAAGCTATAAGGATTATGGTTCCGACAGGTACTATGGGGACAAGCCTGGGTACAAAAGCCTAAGAAATTATGATAACCGACACCATAATCGGAATGCCGATTATCGAAAGACATATGATTATCAGCAAAATTATGATAAATATCAAAATAGATTCCATGAAGAAAAACGGAGTTATCCGTATATGAACAAAAAGAATATTGACTATGGCAATGATACAGAAAAACCTTTTGACTTAAGAAACAAAGTTCTACATTCAAAAACATATGAGCCAAAGCATTGGTTTAGAGGAAAGTATAGCAAATACTACAACAAAGTCACTGTAGATATTAGTAACAACACTGGAGATAATCATGAAGACGATAATACTGAGACAACTACAGAAGCAAAAGTGAAAGATGAATTTGATGCAACTAAATACAGGGAATCCACGCCTGCGTATAGAGGCTTCGGTAACAGAGGTCGAGGGTTTTCCCGAGGTATTAATAGATTTAATCTTGGATACAGAAACAAATATCTGGCAGCAAAATTTTCAAGATTAAGGAATCCTCCTACGTTTTATAACCATGGAGACAAAGATTATGACAGTAGTAGCACTGTAAAAGATATCTCAGAGGCACAGAAAGGAGGGGCTGCAGTTGAAACAACTAAAGAAAAAAAATGATAAAAATGCCCGAATTACAATTGATGCGTAAATTGTATCGGGGTTTTGACATCATTTAGGGAATTTAAAACTAGGAAATAGTATACTTAATTTGTCCAAGGAAGTTTGAAATTAAGGGACAATTTATGAAATGCATTACAAATGTTTTTTACAACCGAGCCAAGAGCTTTTAAAAAGGAAAGCATTTTCTGTATATAATGACCGCCATATGAGAAAAAGTTATAACTGTTTACCGTGTAAAATTGAATTTACCCGTTTTAAAATTACATTTTGTACATGCATTTTTCTTGTTGTTTGCCATATAATATACATATAAATGTTTACCGTCAAAATATTTATTTTTAACCTGTTTTAAATTATATTTATTGTTGTTGTATATATTATTGTTTAAGCAGAATTTCTATTTAATTAATTCTTATTCAAACCGGTTGAATAGCAAAGCGCATATTTATATGATGCACTAAAAGCTTTACTTTGCACGAAATTCACTCATCAAATTAGATTTTATAACCATATTTATATATAGATATATAATGCCCGTGTCTATCAACCTTCATAGGACTAAGGTTTGATAGACTTATTAACAATAAACTGTGTTAATATTGCATTACATTTATTGCGGTTCAATAAATATATCACTCAACTGCGAAATAAGTATATGATGTAGTTTTGCATATGAAAGTATTAAAAGTGAATTTTACATTATGTAATGTTTCTCATCTATGTCTCTTTAATAATACAATACGAATAGCGCTCGGTGATAAGTGTTGTGCTTATCGGCTATACGAAGTGTCATTGTTCTACATATTTACATGTATATGACATATTTATAAAATGTCAATGAGTTCGAAGCCCTTTTACTATGAAAAGTTAAATACTGGAATAGAGAAAAAGGAATCCCTAAAACAACGTTTAAAACGGTAAAATTGAAAACGTTGCAGGGTAGGTTTGATTAAGTCTGTCCATGGATAGTACTGGAAAGTGCAGGCTACCGTCCACGCACCCACCCATCCCGGCTTAAGCAGAATTCAAATTTTAATATGAAATGGTTAAATTTTGAATTAAGAAACATCCGGGATGTTCTATACGGCGGTGGAACAGTGTGAAACTTGTGTGCCATTCCTTGAAAACGAATAAAAGAATTCACATATATGCCCTAAACGAGCCATCAATGGGCTACATTAATGAATGGAATATTGAAATGAGATCAGAGATTATGAAAGCTACATGTAACACAATCTTTCAAAAGACATATTTAAAAAGCAGCTCCAGCTGATGATTATACGGAATACTGGAACCATCCAACTAGAAAAAAAAATTAGAACTACAACAAACACAACAAGTAACAGAAAAAGCATCGAAACACGAGAATATCTGATTCGTACGAGGGGGCTTAGCCCCCCCCCCCCCTCCCCGAGTATTAAGCAGATTGCCGAGTGTTTTGATTTTCTTTCTTTTTTGTATTATGGTCAAACATAAAAACACGTTCCCTGTTGTCACAATATGAAACCCCAGAAAAAAAGAAACCAATGAACGAGCATTTGAATATGATATTTCTGTCGCTTTCCCTTTCTGTGCCGTCACGATAAGTAAACCCCAGCAATAATGAGCCTATCAATGGGCATGCTCTGTAGTGCGGGTAACTAATAACTGCACTCCATTTAACGCACTGTGCATGTATATGTATACAATTTAACTCTGACACATTTTCAACAGAAAGGTCTCCAAACTGTGATACAATGATGTCATGTTGAACGATCAATATAACATATCTGATGGAATTTACGGGTCGATTTTTTACGTCCTCCGCGATAGAAAGAAGTAAAACAGCGCAAGTCGACGTACACATTTGTTTTTACATTTTTATACTATCATTAACATCGGATAAACTGGTAAATCTTGGCAAATCACATAAAAACTATTCATCTTTTGTTTCATATTTTATATTGGCGCTACATGTACACAATACATGGTATTTTATGCAGTAACTAAAAGTTATGAGGGCGCAAGTTTTTAAAAAGGAATATATTAACTACATGGAGTTGGATGTGTGAGGTATGTATCTATTTTCACTTTGTATCTACACATTTTTACAACTTTAAGTATCGTACGTACCCAAATATCTAATATATTGAATGAATTGTAATGGATTTTCGCGTGTTAATACATTGCAGCGTTTGTCGATTAAAACTGTCAAGACTTTTCATTTGTGTAAGATATACATTCATAAGTATATATATTTATATTCCTTTTGGGTTTCAGATGTTTATTAAGTCCGAAAATTTAAAGAAAATTCAAGGTTATCCTGTAGTGCTTAGAAATGTTACTACAAAATTTGACTGATATGTGTACTTTGAATGATGGTCGCTGATTTGCCACACCTTTAACAAAAGGACGTGGAACTTTAAGTTTCTTCTGTTAAGCAAGTGTTGCATAGAAGCTTGTGTTTTTTCCAAAACTGCTTTTCGTTTGTTTGATTGATGATTTTATTTTCATATGATAAGCTGTTTTGTACTGAAAACCTAACAATGACTTTTTTTAATCTCTTTTTTAATCTTTTTTTTAGTTTAGATTAATTTTATTTTAGATGACTGGATGCAAGGCCGAAATATTAGAAGATTACGAAAAGAAGAGAAAACTACAATATACCATAAAACTATTAGAAGTCCAGAAACGAGAACAAATATTCAACTAAGATTGATATAGGACAATAACTGTGTATGATGTGCAAAGAACATAAACATCATGACGATCTTGTAAGTGAAGTTGAAACTCTCGACTTTCATGGTTAAATGAAGTCTTCTTGTAAATCAAGACACCATTATTGTGAGGTCCTTGGAAAAATCAAGAGCGTAAATGACTTCCTGGCAGTTAAATTGCGTTACCACCAAAGTTGTAACAGTTGAACATTTTAAAAGTTTCGATTCTTAAAAACTGTAAACGCACGACTTGTAAATCTAGTGAGAAAGACCATGTTAAATAGCAATGTTGGGTTCATTTTAATAACTATGCAATACTTTGAAAATTTTAAGGACAATAACTAGACTTGGTTTAGTCAAACTAGAGAAGGTATTGAGATGTGGAAATCACTCGGATAGCGTTTTATATATACTGTAGTATTATGAAGAAGAAAAAACATAAATATTATTAACAAGATGTAAAGGCATTCAAAGGTGAAATATATTTCGTTAATTTTTTAAACGAGATGAATGTGATGAATGTATTTCTAGAAAAGAAGAAATCATAACATCAGCTTAACGATTTAGGTTCATGAAGTAATTAAGTCAAAAACATATTTATTATCAATCACAAGAAATTAAATCATTCACCTCAAATTTATATTATTTACCTGGGAGTCTCCTTTTTCTGTAAAATGTTATTGACAATAAACAAGGCTAAAAGATAATGAAGTTTTAATTTTATAATCCATTATATAAAACCCAGAGTTTAATATATCTACTATGGCTCGCTTAAGGATGATGTTTAAGTAAGTTACATAATTATAAGTGACCTGGAAAATAAGTTATTTTAAGTCGAACTTCCGGTAAATGAGAGACATTTAATTAGTACACAAATATTTTTTTTTTAGCTCATTTGCAACATTAGAAGCAAAGATTTAAGCACGATAAATAAAGTTAAATAACGAAATCATTAAAACTAATAAGTGTAGAAAACTGACAAAAGTCATGGGTGATATTTGGAAATTTGTGACTAAGATAACATACAAATGTGTTAAATTACACAACAAAACGTCACTGTAACGAGTTATTTTTATGGAAGAAGTATTTATCAACATGTTAAACATTGTTTTTCCCTATGGATTTCAGGATAAATAAATCTTTCAAGAATAGTTTAACATTGCAAGATTGATGTTATTGTAATTGATGTAACATCTATTACATTTTGCTTTTAAAATGTCTTAAGTGATTAAACTTCTTTGGTTATATAAACTTCTAATATAAATATTATTTGTAACTCTTTGTCACATAGATATAACGTATTTTTAAGACAATGCATATTTAAACGTTTCGTATTATTAATACGAGTGAGTGGAGTAATAAAAAACATTTGTGTCAAATAAAACAGGACAAAACTTTGATATGGGTCATTTAAAAGTACCGTAGGAAATCATGAAAGAAGCTTACTACATGAGATATTTACAGCTGTGTGTCGACACCACGATGAACGCCAAGTTTCAGGCACATGTTTTAAAACAGAAGCTTGGTCAAAATGCATATGCATTTTCGTTCTTATGGCATGGTGATGGTTACAAAGGGTGGGTTCCACCAATCAGTGAAATAGGAAAGTCCCACAGAAGGTAGAAGTAGATCAAATAGAGCTATGATGTACGTTATTAGTATGGTCTTCACAGCCTTGGTGTGACATTAATACAGCATAACCTATACTTCAACATCCGAAGGACGAAATGAAATACCGATTTCTAAATAATGGTTTAATTACAATGAACGAGCATATACCTGTTATTTTTGCTGATATTACAGTGTTTCTTTGAATATAACAAACCCAGATATGTTCAGCTTATCTATTATTCCGCCAATATTGTGTAATTTATAATTTTATATACAGACTGGAACATACGATACGTTATAGTACATCCCAGATACAGATAATAAATTATGATGCTTTTATATTCCATCATATTGATATGTTGATTTTATTCTTTCGTCGATATTTGTTCTCATTTCCCGTTTTTATCATTTACATCTCACTCTACAGGAAGAATCCATAAACATTACGGTATCTAGATCTTGTGATGTAATATATATAAAACATTAATATTATTAATGTATTCTTGGATGCGTTTTTTAGATGTTATGCAATATCTTTAGAATTACTCTTTTGGCCACCGGCTGCTTCGCTCTGTTAATAAACAGATATGTACAATGAAACTGAAATGTTTGTTTGTTAATTACGTCAAAGCACCATCCCTCTATTAAATTCTGATGAAAGTACTTTTCACAAAAAGGGCTACGAGGCAAGAAGTAACTTTCAGCGCTGAATATTACATGCAATGTAATTTTGTACTTTAATCGCATCGACTTACAAGTTTTCTAACACAAATAGACTGAGCAGGGACCCATTTCATTTTAAGGCAATAGCCAGGATCGGTTCAAATTTAAAGGTTTTTTTCCGAATATCTAGATAATAATATTTAAAGTAACAAAATGTATGGACTGAGGCGATACATTATATGTATCATATTTTATGACACGCTATTAGTTATATCAAACGCTTTTTTAATTCGTGCATCTAAGGAGACGACGCGAGATTTAGACGAGATTTTTAACAGTCTTTCACTGCATGCTGATTTCATCGAAGAAGGCGAAATGTATTCATTACAGTGTTTACTTATAGTGTGCATGGTTTAAAACATATCATATTTTCGCTGTATGTATTCATGAGATGTTTGTTTTACATTAAAAACTGAATTACAGCATTTTCAAATATCGAAATAGAGAATACTATATCTTTAAAAGATTTCCGTATTATAAAAAATAATTACATAAAGCAATAATCAAATGGCCACTGTTTTCAACTAGCAAAAAGACATGCATTAGTGTATTTAAGTGACAGAAAGCCCTCGTATATACCATTTCCGATAAAAATTAAAATATAAGAAAACAAGATCAGCAAGGAAGACTGTGACATTCAGTGAACGCATCCCTCAACATAGGACTA